GGAAATTCTCTCGATCAATTATTTGTTTGCTTATACCTAAAAGCACTACATATAAGAGATAAATTATCCCGTTCAATTATGAGTCCGCATATCTTATCGTATCTTCTTATACCAAAAATCATTACGTATGAGAGAAATAATTCTTTTGCTCAATGATTAGCAAGCTGATCTTCTTATACCTAAAAGCATTGCATATGAAAGAGAAAATTCTTCCACTCAATTATTAGTCCGCTTATCTTATACCTAATGGTACCACGTAGCAGAGCGAAAATTCTTCCGCTCAAGAGTTAGCTGGCTAACTCTTAATGAAATAGCTCATTAAAAGACAATTATACCCTTAATGAATTCTGTGTCCTTCTCTCCATATTTCACTCCTTTAATATACAAATGTCAAGTGGCAAATTCAAGGACTAATTAATAATAATACTCCCTAATAATATTAGGGAACCAACCCTATGAAGATAACCATTTGTATCACTCCATAATAAAACGTGCATGGCATCAATATTAATGGGGCCCATTGTATTAGAATTACTATTTTCTTCAAAGTGTTACAACTTTTTCATTTTTACTCTAATTTTTAAAGTATATATATATAAAATTATAATTTTTTACGATCTTTCATATGACACCAATATTTCATATATAAAATTAAAAAAATATTTGAAGGTTTATAAAAAAACAATGTCAGAGTGGTAAAAAATATATCATTGGTAAAATGGAAAAAGTAAAATATGAATGTCAATGTTAAAAATGTAATAATGTTAAATCTATCATATTTTATTTAAAAATATTAACATGTTTGAATAGTCTCTTTATATAAATGAAAATTAGTCAAAAATGTAAATGTACTTGCTTATGGTGGATTAAGAATGAGAATCTTAGAACAAATGTCACGTTTTAATAAAAATATCACTATGTAAAACTATTCTCTTTATAAGGTGTAAGCAGAGGCAAATCCAGGAATGAAATGTATAGTGAGCTAAGCAGTCAAAAGAATCTATTGCTGCACACACAAGATTTAGCTTAGGGTACAGTTGTTATGGAACAAAACTTTTTTTGAACTACCTAAGTTCGAGCTTGATTTTGAACTCCAAGTTTAGCGAGGTTCAAACTCGAATATGCAATTTTACGTATAAATGTTAAATGCCTTATTAGGATATGAAATTGTTAAAGGTGTATCGCTACACATGCTTTATTTAAAAAATGTCACAATATTGGAAACAATGTCGATTTGAAAAAATGTCGCACTATTGATAGTGTGTGAAATTTACATATAAATGTCACAATATTAAAAACAATGTCACACTTTGTGATAAAATGTTATACAAAACTTTATGTTTTAAAAAAAGTTACCACATTTAAATGATGGCAATGTTGATAAAATGTAATGTCAAAATTGCTAAACAAAAGATGCATTTACATTAAAAGTTGGGGTGGGTTAAAATGAGTGTTCAACTCAAGATAAGCAAAACCATCATTTTAACTCCGCCACGCTTCACTTTTTGTTCAAATATTGCACTTCTTATGCTCATGAAAATCATTCACATTGCTCACATTAACACTTCTTTTTATTTCATAAAAAATCATATGGATTGTCATCATGAAAAATAATACTCCCTCCGTCCCATTGGACTTTGCCAACTTTCTCTTTTGGGTTGTTCAAAAATACTTGGCCACTTTCCTATTAAAAAAACTAATTTGTGGTTCCTCACATTTCTCTCTCCTCTGAACAAACCTCAATCACACAGTTTTTGCTTTTCTTATTTATTACCTACTTGACTACTTCAAACTTGGCAAAGTCCACCGGGACAGAGGCAGTACTTTTTAGTGCCTTTATGTTTAAGAAAAAGCAGGCTAACAATTGATCGGGGGAATTTTCTCTCTCATATATAGTGCTTTTAGGTATTATTAGAAGATTAGAAGATGAATAAGTTTGCTAACAATTGAGAGGAGAAACTTTATCTCTCAAATGTAGTTTTTTAAGCATAAGATAAGCCGGCTAAAAATTGAGCGAAAGGAATTTCTCACTCATATGTAATGTCCTTAGGTATAAGATAAACCGCATAACAATTGAACGAGAGATTTTTCTCACTCATAAGTAGTGGATAAAATTTCTCTATCATGTGTAGTGTTTTTAGTAAAAAAATTTAAACAATCAGATTTTGAAAATTTACAATGAGACAAATTTAGTAATATTTTTAAAAAAAATATATATTAATACATCAATAAATAAAATGTAGTCAAAGTAGAACATGTGAATAGTGAAAAATTTGCAATGTTGCACTTATTTAAGAACAGAGGTAGTATGTAGTTCTTTTAAGTATAAGATAAGTCGGCTAACAATTATGTGGTATAATTATCTTTCTCATGCCAAGTGCTTTTAGGTATATGATAAGCGGGCTAAAAATTGAGCGAAAACTTTTCTCTCTCACATGTATGCTTTCAGATATAAGATAAATGGGCTAACAATTAAGCGGTGAAATTATCTCTCTCATACATATTGCTTTTAGGTGTTAAAAGATAAGTCGGCTAACAATTGAGCGAGAACAATTTTCTCTCTTATATGATAGCACTAATTTAACTAATGATTAACAAGTTCTTATTTGACTAATATTTTTTTAATTTTAATATTTATTGTATTCACTTAAGTTTTATGTCATCCAGTTATTGTACACACTTTTTTAGAATATTACGATAGTATTTAATTTTAAAATTAATTTTAATCATAAAAAGTAATAGGTAGCAAATTCTAATGAGTGTTGTCAATTAATTTTCGTTTATATACTTTTTATTGAATATTTATTTTATGGCTTATATAATATTCATTGTAACCTTATTTTTCAAAAATGCATAATCTAAGAAGTTATTTCTTATTTTAATGTTTATTTATATAATGAGTAAAATATATGGATCAACTGTTATTTCCCGTGCGTATGCACGGGTACTATACTAGTTTGATTTAAAATTGATATAATACTTTGAGAAATCAAACATATTACATAAAGAATGCAAGAACACTACAACAAATAAAGTAAAAATGAAAATAAATAAATATGTTTTTAATTATATGAGTATGCGAGAGGGATAAAAGTATATATATTATTAATTTACATTGTTTGTAACTAGTTCAAAAAAAGTTCATGAGTATATATGTTCTGTGTGATATAGTTGAGATGAATATTTATTGTTTATGACTAGTAAAAACATATTATCATCATTCAGTATAGCTACATTATTACAGACAATGAATGTGTAAATGAATTTATAAACTAAACTAAACTAAACTAAACATAACACAAACATTATTTCTCTAGCACAAGAAAACCAAAGACTATTAATGATATTAGGATTAGTTAGGATTAATGTTTAACAATTGACACATAAATTTTGTATTTTAATTAGTTCGGTTTGTTCGGTTCGGTTTGAAGGGTAAAGATCAAAACCAAACCAAATAATTACGGTTCGGTTTGGTTTTTTACATTCGATTTCGGTTTGTTAGCGTTTCGGTTTCATTTGGCTACGGTTAGGTATTACTTGATTCGGTTTTTGGTGTTTCGAACCCAGCCCTATTTAGAAGTTAGGGCATTTTTATTCTCGTTTAGAAAAGGTGAACTGTTATGAATATCTAACATCTAATTGAATTTTAATACTAGTAATCAATATCTCTGTCGTTTGGTAGGAATATTCTAACATGGTCTAATACTTCAATCTACTTTTTTTGAAAGGTACTCTAATCTACTTTTTATGTCCAATTGTTTTTTATGTAAAGGCTTACTTAGTTTTTCTAAAGTTTTATTCAAATAAAGTTTATAGACGAAAGTATGATCGTACTTACCATATGTGTAACTTCACAATCACTACCATGTGTAACTTCATCTAAGGTCGCGGGTTTAGCTAATGAAAGTGCTAAATCCATTCCTACTAATTGGAATGACACCATTACCTCCCAACCGTGGGTCTCCCTCTTTAAAGATAATAGGGAGCCCAAAAAGGGTATGAAACTTAGATATATAGAACCGGTTGGTGACTATGTTGATCTCTTGAATAGAACTTTGTCCTCCATGATTGAATTATGGGGTTTTTGTCTTGTGGCCTACTTTGATGGGCGTTTTCTCGGTTTCAAATCGATACATGATATGATGAACAAATGGAAGGTTCCATGCCAAGTTAGATCCCATGACAAGGGATGGGTCATATTTAAATTCAAATGCTGAGGAGGATAGGACCAATGTTCTCTTGGGTGGACCTTACACTTTCCTTGGAAAATCTTTTCCTTTGAAACCTCTTTCGGATGATTTCTCCATGGATAGTAATGAATTTCTAAAACTGCCCATTTGGGTCCAATTCCCTCACCTCCCTACGAAAATATGGGAAGAGGACATTATTAGTGAAATTGCTTCTCGAGTTGGTGTCCCTTTGGCTACGGATAGAGTTACCCAAGAGAAAGCTAGATCTCACTTTGCTAGAGTGTTGATTGAAATTGATGCCTCCAAAGTCCCGCCTCTTGAGCTCAAAGTGAAACTTCCCAATGGGAGATTCCATACTCAATATGTTAGATATGAGACATACCCTAATTATTGCTTTCATTGTAAGACTTTCGGCCGCCATGCTTTCACATGCAAAGCTTTGGCCGAGAGGGAAAAGAAAGAGAGGGATGAAAAAGAGGCAAATGTGAAGCCTAAAGAGGCACCTACTGTCCTACTCTTAAGACCACCATTGATAACTCCATTCCTAATAGGAGGAAAGGAAAGGAACCTATAAATGTGGAAGTGCATAAACATGAGGGGCTTCAAAGTTAAGAAAAATGACCACCCTTTCTTTAGGGTGACTTTTATCTAAAGCCTAAAGGTAGTTCGTTCATAGAATTTGTGAATAATAGTTTTAGTTGATAACTTGATAAGCTCAGTCTAAAAGATAAAATGCCCTAAAAGGATATAATTAAAATAAAAACAGTATTAATAATAATAAGAAGAAACATACGGAGTATCAAATAAGCATGTGAATCAAACACGGCTTATTTGAAAAGGAAATGATCAAATGAATAAGCCGGCATAGTTCTTCAAGTAATAACCAATGAAATGAGGTGACAGAATACCAACATGCAACTCAATTTACTAAGCTTCTTTATTATTTATAATAACCTAAGCTAACATTTTGAACAGCGCATGGTGTATAAAGGATATATGCACCATGAAAGTCATAAAAACTTGTTAATGTTATATACACACATGAACTACTACCAGTACATTGTACATATATGTATATAACAGGGGAGTGAGTTGGGCAATATATACTTCAGCTATCCTTGGAAGACACCTCTGGAAGATTAAAGGTGGGAGGTTTGTCAACACCGCCTCTCCGAGAATACTCTCTCCATCTTCGGGCAGCAGCAGCAGCTCGATTCACTCGTTTGTCTGCTTCCTCTGAAACAAATTAAAAAGCTCAAACCACACTATTTCATATGCCATCTTTTTCTCAAAGACTCAAATAATAAAAAAAGGGGATAAGGGTCAGTTTGGTCCTCGAAGTTGCAAAAAAAGGGTCAAATAAGTCCTTATATAGAAGATTCTGTCCGGACATGCCATTTGAGGTGGCTCCCGGTGGAACTTTTTGATTAAATTTTTTGAGCATCTTATTCATTAAGTCTAGTTTACTCATACCAAATTTCAGATAAAAGTTCAATCGGGAAGACATTCAAATGAATTCTTGAAGATAACGGTGCCGTTATCTTCAAGAATTCATTTGAATGTCTCCCCGATTGAACTTTTATCTGAAATTTGGTATGAGTAAACTAGACTTAATGAATAAGATGCTCAAAAAATTTCATCTAAAATTTCCACCGGGAGCCACCTCAAATGGCATGTCCGGACAGAATCTTTTATATAAGGACTTATTTGACCCTTTTTTTGCAACTTCGAGGACCAAAGTAACCCTTTACTCATAAAAAAAGGGAAAACTGTCAATTACGCCCTCCTACTATGTACGGAGAGTCAATTAGGTCCCCTTACTTTAAAAACATCCAATTATATCCTCCTACTCATAAAAAACGTTCAATTAAGTATATCTAGCAGGTAACCCACCCACCGGTCTCCCGGTTACCTACACGCATGGCAGCCCATGTGGCAGGCCACGTGACCATCTTTTTCATTTTTCTTTTAATTTCTTGTTCCTTATCTTTCCTTTCTCTTCTTTCTCCCCATTTTCTCATCCTTACCTGGTTTATGCGCAGGACGCCTCCTGAACCTATTTCCCCTCCTTTTCTATTCTTCCTCTGTTCCTTCTTACTTCTTTTCCTTTTTATTGCAATTCTCTTCCTTTTTTTCTTGTACAAACCCTAAGCTCATTCCTCTTCTTCCCAGAAACAAACTCGCCGGAAACCGAGCTGAGATTAAGGCGATGGCCGGAATCTACTCGCCGGAAATCAAACTGCTACGTCGTCGGAATCTACTCGGAAAAAGAAGAAACAAACAGAGGAGAAGAGAGTCTTTTGAGGACGGCAGATGCCGCCACCTTTTGCAGAAGCCTGACAGATCTCGTAGCAGTCGGAATATGTCCACAACGAGCTCACCAATGTTGGCAGTCTGGCACTTTTAATTTCTGAAATAGTCAAAGAGGGCACCTTGATTTATGAAAATGAAGGAAGAAAAAAAAAACTTGCAGAGGAACGAAAGTTGTTGCAGAGGTGCGCTGGGAACGAAGAGCAGGAGAGAGAAATAAGAAAAGAAAAGAGAAAAAGAATTAGAAAAGATAAAAATTTCTACGTGGCCTGCCACATGTGCAGTTTACCGGAAGACTGGTTGGTGACCTGTTAGATATACTCAATTGAATGTTTTTTAAGAGTTGGAGGATATAATTGGGTGTTTTTAAAGTAGGGGGACCTAATCGACTATCCATGCATAGTAGGAGGGTGTAATTGACAATTTTCCCATAAAAAAATGAAGATGAAAAATCTCTCATTTAAATGGGACGGGGGGTTTGCCTGTGTTTTCATTGGTCAGGGGCTTTCCCCAAATGTAGCTCCAGTATGGATCTGTTTTATCATATTCTTTCTGCCTCACCATCCTATATTTAGCTTTTTCCTGCAACAGATTTATTTCGTGATAAAATTACAAATGCTTATTGGAAAACGTGTGTATGTTCATGCCAATAAGTTTGTACCAAGACTTTTAGTTGTCTCTTTTCCCATCGAGTGCTTGCCTGCAGCATTCAAATGCATCTCGTTAATTTCTTCTTTTCAAATTTGGCATCACATTTTTGTAAAATTAAAAAAAAAAAAATAAACAATACCAACCCATTGGATTGCTAAAGTTTTTATCAACATCAACCCATTAACAAATTTCAAGTATTTATACATTAACACAAAGCAGTATCGAGATTTCTTTTTTTCTTTAAAAGGTACTTTATGGTTTATCCTTAAACATTAATAAAAGAAAATGTGAAAAGCACAAGAAATGGCTAGAAGAAATTGTGGTAATGGAGTCTTAGGGTACATCATGGTGGGGGTGTTTGGAAGGTACATTCATTTTCTTAGATTTACAAGAGAAGAGGGAAGATACCATTCTGAAAACATCAATTGATGCCGAGCCCATTCCCGAAAGCATCAAGGCTACCTGTCAGTTGACAATTAAGGGAAATGGTGAAAACCACACTCGCATATGTATATATAATCTCATGAAATTTAGCCATGTAGCTCACGTTTACTCTTTCCACTCTTCGCATTTCATCTTCAAGCAAAGATAGTTGCGCAGCTGAAGTCCAGTGGATACAATCAACTGGGCTGAAATGAACAAGAAACTAATAACTTCATATCCTTTCTTATCTAATGTAGTAGTAAGATTTGTGATCATCATCATAATCCTCAACACCAAAATCTCAACTATCTTGAGTTTGCCGAATGACATTATATAATGCGTCAATAAACTTTAAAATTAGTTAAACCTAAAAATCCATGCAAAAATACAAACGGAAAAGTTTTGCACTTGATGGTCTTCTTATCACGACTTTCTTAGTTTCTTATGAATGAATAGTGTGATTGTGTGAAGGAATTTCGAAAAACATCACACCAAAGAGTTCTCAACTTGACCACTTACAACAACAACAACAACATCCAAGCCTAGTCCCAAACGAGTTTGGGGTCAGCTCAACTTGACAACTTGTGTGGAAAAAATCACGAGAAATCGATGAGTTGAGATAAGAGCTATGGTCACATCCCATTACAAGATTCAAATCATAAAACTAACATGCATGCAAATCATGGAGCATGACCACGACTTTACTTATTTTAATGCCATAAGTTTTATTCACACAATTCAGTTTTCCATTCTCCCCCAAAGCAGCAAAGCAACTGATCAAACTATAAGACCTCGCTTTTTCAAATGGTAAAAGGAAAGGGAGGGGACCTACCAACTATCGATAGCTTGTTGAATTTGTTCCCGACTTCCAGATTGATTATAAACTCTAGCTCTTCCAAAGTCTTCCTCAATACCAAACACCGTTGAACACACATTGGCACAGTTTTTGCAACCTGTAGGCAGATTTACATGGGATGTTTAGAATTAGAGAAATTTATATATAATCTATAAACAATTGATGGTTCTAAAACGAAACAACTTAACAACAAGGTTATGAAATACTCCCTCCGTCCCGAAATGAAGTTCCACCTTTCCCTTTTGGGGTGTCCCAAAACGAAGTTCCCCCTTCAACTTCTTTCTATATTTAGAAAGTTTTTATTATTCATTTACCCTTTTACCCTCACATCACTTCATTGAATTGATGTGTATTACCACCATTTCACGATTCATTGCCCCCTTTATTAAACCCAACTGGTTACTACACCTTTCAATTACCCAAGGGCATTTTTGAAAAGCCAATTTTATTTCCTATTCTACCTAAAAATCCATGAAGTAAAACCCGGAACTTGTTTGCGGGACGGAGGGAGTTTACGTGTACATGTGGCACGTGTTACTTGTCAAAAATTATGCATCCTTGTATGAGATATATTTATATTCACTCCCTAATTTCCTATGTTGAGTTGTTTCAATCAATCATCATTTACCCTAGTGCCGCAAAGGCTCCCACCTACGGTGGGGTAAGGGGGGGTCAGATGTACCCCTGTACTAAAGCGTAGAGAGACTGTTTCCGGATGACCCATAATGAAAATCGCGTCCAAAATTGCATGGACTTATGTTAGGGACCCGGCCCAATAGAGTATTAATAATAATAAGTGTACAAGTTGAGTATAAATAGAATAAGCTTGGGCTGGTAGAGGAGGCGGGTTTAGACTTTAACTTTGGGACTTTGGGAAGATCGAGAACTTTCTCTTTCTTTTGGGGGGCTTCGGCTCATTGGGGGCTTCGGCCATCGTTTCTTGTTCTTGTCTGTAATTGTTCATCACCATCAATAAAGTGTTTACTGGTTTTCTTGTTAGATTACTGTAATAGTTCTGAATCTCTGGAGGTTTCTATCAATTGGTATCAGAGACTTCAATGCTGTGAATGGTGGGAACGAGAAAGAAAATGGAAGGAAGAATTACCGAGGTGGAAACGAAGTACGACAATCTAATCGCGATGATGACGGCAATGCAGGCCGGCATCGCGGACCTCCAAAACAGACAATCCGATCGATCGAGGAGTCGATCGCACCATTCCACCATGTCGCATCATACAGCTCGCCACAGACATGCGAAGAACAGCGACAGCTCAGATGGTTCAGATCATCACTCGGACCATTCGGTTTCGCATAGCCATCGCGATACACGCAGAAGACATCGGCATCATCATCCGGTAGGTAAAAAAATTGACTCACCTATTTTTAATGGCGAGGATGTGTTTGGATGGTTGGTACGGATGAATAGGTATTTCCGATTGAATAAGACAGAAGAAGAAGACAAAATCGATGTAGCTGTTGTCGCCATGGAGGACCACGCTTTAAGCTGGTTCCAATGGTGGGAAGGACAAGCTCAACATCAAACTTGGGATGCTTTTACCACTGCTTTGTCCAAAAGATTCCAACCAGAATTGGTGCAAGATCCTTTGGGGCCGTTATTCAGTTTGAAGCAGAAAGGAACAGTGAAGGAATACAGGGACAAATATGAGACTGCCATAGCTTCACAAGGTCACCTGACTGAAGAAGTATTAAGAGGGATTTTTCTGAAGGGTTTAAAACGTGACATAAGGGCAGAACTGAAGTTATATCGTACCAGAACCTTGGCTGAAGTGATGGATACTGCTTCCTTGATTGAGAACAAGAATTCTGAAACCTTGTTTGTGAAGAATAAGGATGAAGGAAAGAGGAAAGGGCAGAATAAATCTAGCATTCCAAAATCCGGCCAGAAATGGGGAGAAGGGAGTAGATGGCAGAGCTTAAGCCACCCTATTGCTAGTGTTGATAAAGGTTCAGGGGATTCCAAGACTAGGGAGGAAGGCATAGACCTAAATTTCAGAAGGGAAGGTCCCAGATTATCCCAAGAAGAACTATTGGACAGAAGCAAGAAGGGACTTTGCTTCAAATGTGGGGAAAATTGGAACCGAGGTCATGTCTGCAAAATGAAACACTACAAAATTATTCTTGTGGAGGATTCTGGAGGAGAAAACGAAACTGAATGTGTTAGGAAGGATAACAAGGAGGAAGATGAAACTGAAATGGAATTCAGAACAACGCAATTATCTTCAATAAGTAAGGAAGAGATTCCAAGCATGAAAACATTCAAGATGAAAGGAGAATTGAAGTGGAAATCTGGAGAAAAGAAGGTTGAAATCCTTATAGATACTGGTGCATCCCATAACTTCATTTCTCAAGAGTTTGTGAGAAAATGGGAGTTACCCTACCGTATGATAAGAAGATACTCTGTACAGATAGGTAATGGAGATCAAACCACCAACAATAGAATATGTGAAGGGTTGGAATTGGAACTGCAAGGGCTGAAAATACAGCAACCTTTCTATATGCTTGAGTGGAAGGGAACAGATATGGTGTTGGGCATGGACTGGCTTACAAGCTTGGGAGATACTGAGATTAACTTCCAAAATCAGACCATCAAATTGGAGGTTCAGGGGCAGAAGGTAATCATACAAGGAGATCCTTCATTCAGTCAACTGGGAATTTATAAGGAGATGAAGAGTCTGGTGAATAGGAGTGGAGGAGGAAAATTGCTGAGCTATCAAGGGTTACCTAATGACATTGAAGAAGAGTGTTCAAAAGCAAGAAGTTGTTGCCCTCTATGTTGCAGCAGGATGCACCTTAGCCTCCAAAGAATCTGAAGGAATCAAAATTCTGGATAACGTAGTCTGGCATATGTATCTCTGCTGTGAAATACATAGGGAAGAGGATGGAAGCTGCAAAGCTAAAATTCCAGCAATCAAGCCAGTATTGGAAAGGGAGAGGTGCTAGGATGAAAGAAAAGAAGAGGATTGTGGCTGTGTCCTATCACCCACCTTGAGGGCAAGGTGGATGTTTAGGGGGGGAGATTTGTTAGGGACCCGGCCCAATAGAGTATTAATAATAATAATAAGTGTACAAGTTGAGTATAAATAGAATAAGCTTGGGCTGGTAGAGGAGGCGGGTTTAGACTTTAACTTTGGGACTTTGGGAAGATCGAGAACTTTCCCTTTCTTTTGGGGGGCTTCGGCTCATTGGGGGCTTCGGCCATCGTTTCTTGTTCTTGTCTGTAATTGTTCATCACCATCAATAAAGTGTTTACTGGTTTTCTTGTTAGATTACTGTAATAGTTCTGAATCTCTGGAGGTTTCTATCAACTTACTGCTGCTTCATAACAAAGAAGAACAAACAGTTTGGTGAGCCATTTTGCTTTATTCCATCATATTCTCAAGCCAAAAAATAATGAATCTTTGGCTCCATTGCAAATGATTGAAAGGCACAAAAATGTTGAGTTGTTTAAAGGCACAAAAAGCAAAGGAAGGTATAGTGAATAACTGTGCTTAACAGAATGATACTTGTTTAATAGAGATGCCTAACATATGCTAAAGACGTGCTTATAAACTCCAAAAAAACTTCTTAGAATGGCCTGTAATGAATACTCCATCCCTCCTACTTTACGTGCATCTTTCGGTTAACGAGACTTGAATCAAAGTATTTAGTTACTCATTTCATGTGTCCCAGTGTCCCACTATCACTAAGTTTGTTTCATGCCATATTTGGTAATATTTTTGTCATTCAATTTAATTACACTTACAAATTTAATGTCAACCACAATATTCCATTTTCCTTAATGTGTGCCACTGTCCCAAAGATAGTGGGTCGGACATATTACAATTTATCATATTGATAATATACTACTTTGTAATATCTAATCGAGTATTTTAAAACACACTGAAGAAATTTAGAAATTACATTTAAGAAAATCAAGTGAGAATTATCAACATAACTAGTTAACTACTACAAGGCCAAGTCCTTGCATGTACCTATGCAGCTAAATTCATCAACGAAAACATGATCTTTTGAGGAAGATTCATCCAAGAAAGGATTAATAGCTGTCACAGCATAACCATGAATCTCATCATACACTAGCCTTTGTGCAGGATCACTTAGAACCTGAACTGGTACAATAATCAGTTGTGAGTGTAGTAGGAAAGAAACAAGAAATTGAATACTTCGTGGGAGTAATGTAGTATACATGTGACGAACTTATAAATTTGGGAGCACCCACCTCATAAACTTCATTGACAAACATGCAGAAGTTTGTGGTATCAGCATCATCACCCGTCAAGTCTGGATGGCAAGCTTTCATGCAATTATAATATGCTTTCTTTATTTCTTCAGTTGTAGCATCTGGAAGCTGTCAGTACAAAGAAGACAAGAGGAAACATCATAAGTGTGTCTATGTCATGTGGTTCATGTCAAACTCAAACCATCTTTCCCTAGACTACTTTTAATCAACCAGAAGTCCAAAACTACTCAATCTCATATGTAATTACATGTCAAATCATTATATTTGATGAAATGCATAATTGGATAAGGATCACTCGGTAGGAAGTATATGCACATGGTGACATGGGTAAGCCAAACTAAAAAAATTGAATCCAATAAAACAGAGTCTCATTACCCATCCACCTCTCAGTAATATCTTTCAAGTTTCAATATGTGATTAGCATCCAATTTGACATTAACTAAAGGCTAAAGTGCCAAATCAGTACCAACATGCCCTGTGAAAATTGTCCCTTCTCATTTTGAACCTTAACATAAAGATACAACTTTAGTCCGTCTGGAAAGTGGAAAATTCTGGAGAAAGATGACAGCGAGGAAAGTATATGAGAAACTGGGAATGGAAAAGAAACTCAATAAGTATTTATAAAGTTTGTTTTTATTTAATTACTTCTATCATTTAAGTATGGAGAAATCTAATATATAAAATAAAAGATTATCAGTCATATTTCGTTTTCCTTGGCATTTTCCTAGTTAAGTTCAAACAAAGAAAATAACTTTGTTTAGAAATTTCTTTCATTTCCCTGGTATTTTCTGGGATCCAAAACATAGCTTAAGGAGCTTCTGATAAACGCAATTCTGTAAGAACTCAAGGTGATAGAATAGGCACTCCATTCTGGATATTCCCCGTGCCACGTTTGGAATGGGATTATGGGAGTTCATATGCTGATAGGAATCTTCAATAACTGAGATTGGGTGCATAGAATCTCTCCGCTATACCATGGGTTTTGCACAATTGCTTGGAATTGTGTGGATTCTGGTTATTCCAACTGTGTCTATACGGCTATACCTAATTCCTTCTAGCGATTCCACTCCAAGCAATTTGATTCCAAAACCTAAAGCCACCCACACGAAACCTAAGTATATTGAAATGAGTGGGTGAAAGATGAAACTTCTAATAGTGTTTAATTATTACCAGGCCTAAAACAGCGTAGTAATCATCAGCGAGATCGTCAGCTGCTGCAGAGTCTTGGTAAGCAACTCTGATGCTGCCAAAGCCTCTCCACCTCGATCCGCCATGAGACCTCACACTTCTACTTTTAGTACTATCCAAAGTAGGCCGCTTGCTCCCAGTTAGTGAGTTGTGTACATGACTCTGGAGTTTGATGGAATCGGCACGAACTGGGGAAAGCAACTGAGCCATCTTCTCTTCTATACCTCCTAACTCTAACTCCGACGAATCAAAGCCCAATCAAGGCAAAGAATTGTGATATGTTTGATCGAATGAATTGAAAATATTTACTGTGATTTACCGATGGAAAATAATGGAAACAGAGAAAAGGAAAGGAAACAAATGCTAGTGAGGTGGCAAGCTGAGAACCATTCATTCTTTCAAAGAATCTGGAAATGTGTGGTGTGGGCGCATTTTGCATATGTCACCCGTCTCTTACCTCGGTCGGGGCATGTTTATAACTTAACTCCGTATAAGTTATAGATAAGGTTGTTTGGAGTGATTCTTGTTAGAGGAGAATCGTTTTTTCAAAAGTTTGATCTATTTCAACTTGGGAAAACTGTCAAATAGGTCCCCGTACTATATCAAAAAAGTCAATTGAGTCCTCCTACTATTAAATCACTCAATTAAATCCCCCAACTATCAAAAAACATTCAATTTGGCATTTCAACCGGTAAAGAGGTTAGGCCGATCCACGTGGGCATATTTTACATTTTTCATTTATTTTACTTTCTTCTTTTCTTTCCCGTTCTCTGCCGTCAGGCTCTGGCCCCCTTCCGCCCAAGCCCCAATCAGCAACATTGTTTCTTTTTCTTCATTCCAAGCCATCCAATCCAGAGAAGCTAGCCATTCAGAACTTCAATTCAGTGAGTGCAGAAGAGGGCGAGGGCTGTAAAGGACGGCGTGGAGGCAGGGGCTTCTGCGATGTCACCGGAAAACCTAGGTATGGATGCTGCGAAATCGCCAGAGATCTCGAACCTTCTCCCACCGAAGGTTGTTGAAGTTTTCCATCGAGTTTGTCCAGTTGGTTTACACATACATAGTAAATTAGTAATTAAATACTACCTCCATCTTTCTTCTTCAGCCAAGAAACCAACTGGACACATGACCCCTCTTTCCCTCTGCAAACCCACCCACCCAATGTCCTCTTCTGTACTCACTGAAATTCCTAATATGAGGAATGGCAAGCTTCTCTTGATTGGATAGGGTGGATTGAAGAAAAAGAAAAGATGTTGCAGGCTTGGGGCTTTGGCGGAAGAAGACGTACAGCTAGCTAGAGCCAACGGAAGAGAAGGTTGAAAGAAAGAAAAAAAATGTACTACACGTAGTAAAATACTAAAATCTGGCACGTGGATCGGCCACATGGGTATGTTAACCCCTTTACTGGTTGTTTCCGGTTGAAATATCAAATTGACTTTTTTTTTATAGTTGGAGGATTTAATTGAATGATACAATAGTACAAGGACCTAATTGCCTTTTTTGATATAGTACGGGGACCTATTTGACAGTTTTCCTTTCAACTTCTAAAAAACTCCTTCTAGTTTGGAGAACCCAAAAGTATATCTGCATTTTCATTCAAACATTTCAATATCGGATTCTATTTCCTAAAGAAGTAGAAGCAATTTTAATCATTAGATCCAAACTCCCCCATAGTTTACCTGTGTCTGATCATTTCATTTGTCATCCCATAGTAAGGCATAGTAGTAAGGGAAATTTTAGTAGGAGTGGGAGGAGGAGGAGGATGAGGAAGAGGAGAATGATATTACGATTTTGTAGAACAGGTATTCACTCTACACTCTACAGTTCCAGATCTCTCTCCTCTCTCTATACAATAAAATGAATGCCTATTATAATTTTTTTTTAAATCCGTTAGGTTTACGTAAGACAACCCTCGTTATATAGGTTTTGGAACTTGCCTATCTATTACACGAGGTAAATGGGCCTAAATAAATGAGCAGCCGATATTAAATAACTAAAGATATTTTAACAAAATTACAAAGATACATAATAAGGTTGGACACAACTAAAATGTCCTTACAATCTCCCACTTTGTGTTATATCATATTCAATCAGCATTACAGCGCGAGTATCTTTGTTTTTGTGTTGAGTTTGTAATGTAGAAGAGAGGGTAGATGAGATTGGTCAAGTTGCTCTTTTTTTGTCTTGATTTTCAGTGCAACTCTGCTTCCTTTGTCTTCTTGAAAAGGCTTTGTAAAGAAATCTTTACAATCTCTCATTTGATGTCTTCTAGCACTTTGTTCTTTGATGAGGGGTATTGAGGGATCGTCAATATCTTGCATGCAGCCCTTGCCTTTCACAAATTGCTCTAGATCGGATTGAATGAAGTCTGATGGCACATCTAGAATACATGTTCTTGAAGAAATCCAGACGCACACGAGATTCATCTTCAGTACTTGAGTATCTGTTAAATCACAGTTCCACAGTCAATCAACAAACATACGATTAAGATAAACGAATGGAGAAGATGAATTATCAAAACTATATCTTCGTTGAATTCCTAGAATGATTTGTAGATGAAATACTTAGTATTCATGAATTACCAAACTTATCTAGAGAGAGAGATTCTGAATAATATGTGACAATGTGTATAACGAAACTCTTAGGCATGATATGCTACCTACCTATATATTTATAGGCGTAGTACCAGATCATTCTAATTACAAAAGAACAACCCATTTAAATAATTGAAATCCCACTCTTTAAATCTATTAGAAAAAGATAAATACAATTAAAATTGTACACAAAAAAATATGTTCTAACAATCTCCCCTTTTGTGTTCAATTTGCTATGAAGCATGAGTTATCTTTGTATTTATGTTGAATTGCATTCTAGAGGAGAGTATAGATAAGATTGGTTGAGTTGCTCCTCTTTTATATTGAAATATCAGTGTAGTTCAGCTTTTAATGTCTTCTTCAAAAGGCTTTCTGTAGAAATCCTTACAATCTTCCCTTTGATGTCTATCTTCTTGACAATTTTCTCTTTGATGTCGGGGGTTGAGAGATCTTTAAATCTAGCATGTAGTCCTTTCAGAAGTTGATCTTGATCAGCTTGAATGAAGTCCGATGGTGCCTCTAGAATGAACGTTCTTGAAGAGTTTCAAGTGCAAATAGGATTCATCTTTGATACTTGAGCATTCGACCTTTGTCTCCACCAGCATGCTTTTGTGGAGAACTCGTCGGTGGCACAACGGAAAGTGATGGTTGAGTGGTCTGCATATGCTGACCATTTGATTTGAAGCTGAATGGGAAGATGTGGGCAGATGTTTGTGTTTGAAGAGAGAAATGTTCAAGAATGATCTTTGAAAGTTTAAATGCACTTGGACCTCTCCCCCCTCATGATAATCCGATGAATCAGGTCATCCTACTTTATTCAATAATTTATTCTCCAAAACAAAACAAAACAAAAATCCAGATACACTGTAGTGTTCCATTGACCCATCATTAATGAAAAGACATCAACGAAGAATACGCATGTCGTTGGCAATTCATTCGTTCGTCATTCGTATCGCCTCGCATGCTCAGACTATTACTTGCCCACGAAGTATTATTATTTGTATTACGTAGAACGATTTATACTTCATATATTGTTACTACGTATATTTATATTTTAAGTTTGAAAAGTCATCCCCTCTTTATAATTGCTACGCATAATATTAATTTAATTGTGTGTGTCGTCGTACTATACATCTATCCGTGTATGTATATGTATACTCTTGATGTATAAGGTATTTTTTTACTTACTAATCTTAGCCCTATCAATTATTTTTAGTGTATAATTATCACCTGTATGAAAAATGTTACTTTTATTATCCAAGCTAAGCCAAAATCTAATCTGGTCAACTTAAAAATAAAGAAAATGTTAATTTTCTAACATTTTACATTCATAACATACATTTTATCTCATTAAGATTATTCATTTTATTTTATTTAAAATTTTCGAGGTGGCACATTATTGTAACACTTGAGATAAATTTAAAAAGATCAATAGTACTACTCATACTAACAGAGGTGCATCTCCTTTTTAGGGAGCTCATCCGCTAAGAACTCTAAAGTTAAGCGTGCTTGCACGGAAGTAGTCTTGGGATGGGTGACCCCCTGGGAAGTTTCTCAGGGCGCGCATGAGTGAGGACAAAGTGCGCGGTAAAAGCTAGTAGTGGTTTGTGAGGACAGTACTAGAGGTCTGAGGTAACTACCTCGGGTCCTGCGAGGCCGGGGTGTTACATATAGTCCCGCACCGAAAAATTGTGAAATAATATATTGCTTTATTAAGATTTGAGTTACTCCTCCTATCAGGTTGACCTTTTAGGATGTAACTTTAGGTGTTAACGTAAATCTTACACTTTTCTGAAAATACTTTTAACCTAAAACATTTTCATATCCTTTTTACATTATAATTAAATTGCTATTAAAATATAGGATATACAATTGGTCAAAATTGATGAGGGAGGGAGGGAGGGTGGTGTTAGTTTTCTCACACTAAAAAAATGTAGTAGTAAAGGGTCAAAGTACTAAAATAAATAACTTAAATGCAATTGTGCGATATTGGATTGGTTGTAAAATTAAAATGTGAATAAATGATTAAAATAACCGGGTTCTTTCTAATTAATGGCGATAGGGAACAAGGATAGATTCCGGGGTAATAAGATTTCTGGCTCAGGCTTAATCACATGAAAATTATTTAATGAGCAACACTAGTCAATACTAAGTTCTAACCGCTCTCGCGGCGTAGAATACAATAATTTAGGGAAATAGACTGATCTCTCATGCGACAAGTATCTAAATTACCGCCAAAAAGAGTGAGCGTACGACCCCTTAACCGTTATTAATCTCTTAGTGAACGATTAAGTGTGTGTGAAAGTGTCCTAGAATAAATTAGACTTCTCTTAATATTCAATGTGCAATTATAATCCTAGTGGTCATTCCATGTTACAAGAGATATCAATTAAATCATTCATCCATAAATAAAATAAAGATTCATGCAATTAATCCATCAAAATATTAACCATACATCATGACTAACCCCTTCATCAATCTCAAATCCCTAATTAAAACTACTCACAAGCCATAATTGAATTAACAATAGAATTGAGATGAAAAGAATTAATTGTCATTAATTAATTAGTTAAAAAGATGGAACTTACAAAGAATCCCAAAAACTTGACGAACAAGACTCAAAAAGCTCTCTAAAAACGTAATACGTTTATCTCTCTAAGCTCCATTATAAAAAAACAAATAAAACAAGGCCGAATTTATAGAAAAACAGCAAAAGTGGACGAATTTTGGCCTGCGCGTCAAATTTTTGTTCCGCCCGCACGGTCCGATCGTGCGGGCACTCCTGAACACCGGGCCGTGCGGGTCATCCGTGGGGCGTGCGGTTCAGGATTTTTAACTTATTGCTCTCTGAATCACCCGCGGGGCATGTGGTAATGATCCACGGGGCGCGCGGACGTCTCGTGAACCATTTTCTTGCTATTTTCTTCCATGTTTGCTGCCGATTGATCCTATCATCAATCTTTGACCTTTTTAGCCTCAAATAACGCTTCTAAATCGTCCCGTGGACCTCCGATGCTTGTTTCTACCTCTTGAACGTGTCCCAAATCTTCTCAAATTACGCTCAAACCTGGTAAACCGTGACTTGAGTTAATTAAAAGCTTTGTGACTCAAATAAATTAGGAAAAGTGACAAAACTCAATCCCAACATGCATCAAATGCGTGTTGAAATATGAACTTATCAGAGGGATTATTTCAATTTCATATTTTTAAATAGATCAATTTGGTGACAGCGGGACCTTCACTACAAATTCAACACATGTGTGGCAGTCTTAACTCAAGTCAATAGAAACAGATAAAGTTAGGTCTAATTAATTGAGTATTTGTTTGTCTTCGTATATGTTGTTATTATATATATAAATATTCGCACGCATAAAAATAATTTTAGCTTTATGATGACTTCTTATAAAAAGTAACTTTTATAATAATTTATAACTAAATTTAAAAAGTGAGCAACAATTTTTTTAATCAGGCCATAGTATACTTAATGCTTCACCGTCATTATAATAAGCGACCATGAGTGACAAGTAAAGAACACAAAATCACTTGAAAGTTAAGGCATGTCATTATTTCATGACATATTTGATTGACCGAAGTGATTTTGGAGCTGGAATTCGGACTAATTACTTGTTTTGAATAAAACTGATAACACGATTTGAAACAAAAATAGCATGCCGGATAAATAAAAATATATAAATCATGTGGGACCCTCCAAATGAAGTAGGTCCAAGTTTGAATTATGTCATGGATTCATCTATTACTCCGTAGTCCGTATTATATCATCATGTAACAGACACACGCAAAACTGTCAACCTTTTATATACTTCTCGAATATAAAAGGTTGACATTTTTGCGTGTGTCTGTTACATGATGATATAACACGGACTACGGAGTAATAGATGATGTTATGACATAATTCAAACTTGGACCTACTTCTTTTCAAGGGTCCCACATGATTGATTATCCACATGATTTATCCAGCTATTTTTGTTTCATATCACGTTATCAGTTTTATTCAAAACAAGTCATTTTCATTTCATTTTCATTTACCCCAGTGCCGCAAAGGCTCCCACCTACGGTGGGGTAAGGGGGTCGGATGTACGCAGTCTTACCCCTGTACTAAAGCACAGAGAGACTGTTTCCGGATGACCCATAGTGAAAATCGCATCCAAAATTGCATGGACTGACGGCTGCTTCATAACAAAGAAGCGCAGACAAGTTTAGTGAGCCATTTTGCTTTATCCATCATATTCTCAAGCCAAAAATTAATGAATCTTTGGCTCCATTGCAAATGATGGAAAATTTATTCAAAACAAGTAATTAGTCCAAATTCCACCTCCAAAATCTCTTCGGCCGATCAACTATTTCATGAAATAATGATAGTGAATCATTAAGTATACTATGGTCTGATTTCAAAAAATTGATAATCACTTTTTGAATTTAATTATGAATTATTATAAACATTATGGATCAGAGTAAGTTATAAGAAGTCATCACAAAGCTAAAATTATATTATGTGAATATTTATAATAACAACATATACACAAGATACAAACAAATACTCAATTAATTAGACATAACTTTATCCGTTTCTATTGACTTGAGTTATGGCCACCGTGCATGTGTGGAATTTCTAGTGAAGGTCCCGCTGTCACAAAAGACCAAAGATAACTTTTTTGTTAATCTTTGCTCCCAATCGATCCATTTTAAAAAGATGAAAATGAAATAATCCCTCCCTCAATCGATCCATTTTGCATGAGGGAAACCACTAGTAGGTTTGACCCTTCATATGTTTTAGCTGAGTTTGTGTGCTTTAAATAATGGTTGCCAGTTGTAGTTTGGTTTCCTTAGGATTAATATAAACCTTTGGGGATTTTATTTTTGAGTATTAAGTACCTGCCGAGTTTGGGGTGAACCAGAGGTCGCATGGTTTTGAAACCCTGCAAGTTTTATTTATTTACTTTTGAGGATTAAGAGTTAAACTTATTCTCAATGTTTGCTAATATTATTTTGATTTTTGCAAGTGTAAAATATTTACGAGTAACAAGTCAAACAAGGGACCTCAGTCTCAGGATGAAAAGTGTTTATCAGAAATTGTCTAATTCAAAAAGTCATACTTGAGGACCTAAGTCAATATTGAACCTCGGCCTCTACGACCTTTGAGTTTATCGTATTTAAGGGTTTTATAATAAAGAAAAAAATTAGGCTAAATGTCTCCTTTAATGGTCATTGAGTCATTGGTAGTACCTCACCAAGTGATGGACATTCCATAATCTAGGAATC